TGGCATGTTAATTATTTAATATCTGGCATCAAAATTGAATTCCAGAAACTCACAAAAGAATAGAATGTACAGTAATAACTCTATTGTTTAATAATTTGATATTAGAGTATTTGAATTAATTAAATGAAGAATCTAATAACTTACTTATTTATTTCAACATAAAAGCCAGATGATTATTGTGGGACATTCAACCCAATGTCAAAGGCACTAAAGTTTACGTATATTTGAAGTATGCAGCGTTGAGTTGCTCGAGGAATATGAAGGTGAGGACTGTGTGAGGTCCCAAACGAGCGTAGTAGGGCAGGAAGCCTTTCCACAGAGCAAACACTCCTTCATTGCGAAGGAGATTTGTGACGACCGCTACCTGACTTTGACCCTTCGCTGCGTTTTGAATTCTGAAATATTTTAGAGAAAAATAAAGTTTTTTTTATGAAAAAGAATATTAACAATGCTAAAAACATTACTAATATTCCCCTTAACCACTCGTGGTAAGCTTAAATTGCTTGTGTTACGAGTGGTTCACGCCAGTAGTCAAATGGCGGATTCGAACCCACGACCTTTCTAAGATTCGCGGTCCGCGCCCTGCTTGCTACGGCTACTGTCGCTTATAATAAGTTAAAACATATACAGTGTGTCTGGTCACGACCTAGCGATAATTTAAGGTTACAAAATATACCTAATTTCATCGACGAAAACACTCATATATTGGGGTCTACGCCCCCTCCTGTCGGAATGGCCGCCATTTAAATTTTTTTATTCTTGTAGATACCTCTGCCAAAAGATGTAAATTTCTCTGGACAGGAAGGTCCTACAGATGTAAAAAAAATGTTATTTAAAAGGTAAAAATAGCATCTATCAAATAAAAATAAAAATCATGGAAAGTTTTCCTTACAAAATATCTTTAAACATTTATAATGCTAATTTAAGTGAAAAAAATTGACTATTTCTTTTATTTTTCTTAACATACTTCAAAAACTAGCACATTGATACTAATTATTTTAATACTGTACTAATACTTAAGGATATTACTTACAAATTGACATTAAAATTATTGTTCTTAATTGCATAATTCGAGAGTTAGGGCTGTTTGAATATGACCCTTTTGCGACGGTCCCAAACCCATGTAGAGCTACCTGCTACATTGAATAGGGTTTATGTGACAAGGACGGAAAATGATTTGTATTATTGGGCGATGAATAAGTAGGACAAAAAATCATGTTTGACCAGCGCAGGTATCGAAGACATTCACTTAAGATTGTCGCAATATGGCATCCAAAGGCCGCCAAATGAACGCTCCCGCATAGTGTCAGTGCAAGCAGAAGAAGAAGTTCTTCAATTAATTTACCGAGATCCCAGGCTCAGTGTAAGGCGAATAGCAATGATGCTGCATTTGTCAAAATGGGTTGTGTGGAAAATTTTAAAACGCAAATGCATGCATCCGTACCATTTTCGTCGCCTACAAGATATTCGAGAGCCAGACTATGCTGTGCGAGCCACTTTTTGCTCGTGGCTCAACGGTTGTGTGCGACGTCAACCGACATTTTGTAAAAAAATCATGTGGACCGATGAGGCGACTTTTATAACAGCTGGTATTATAAACCATAGAAACCAGCATTTATGGATGCAAGAAAATCCAAATGCAGTAAGGCCCAGTAAATTTCAACATGAATTTTCAGTAAATGTGTGGGCGGCTATGATTGATGACAAATTAATTGGACCAATTGAATTACCAAATACAATGAATGGCCTAAGATTTTTAGATTTTCTAAGGAACACATTTAGAAAAATCATGGAGGAATTACCAGTGATCAACCGAAGGCGCATGTGGCTACAGTTGGACGGTGCACCAGCTCACTACGCATGTGCTGTGAGAGCTTTTCTTAATGAAAATTATTCACCATGGATAGAACGTGGTGGAACGGTAGCTTGGCCACCTCGCTCTCCGGATTTAACACCTCTGGATTATTTTTTATGGGGATGGATGAAGCAGAGGGTTTATGCTACAGTCCCAAATAGCAGACAAGAACTGCTCGACAAAATAATGACGATTGCGGATGACATAAGATCCGACATAGTCTTAATATCAAGGGCCACACAACAAATGGCTGTAAGGTCAGTAGCCTGTCTGCAGAATAGAGGTGAACATTTTGAACAATTATTAAATTAATAATAGTACTTAATGCCATTAAAAGTTTCTTAAAAGTTATAGTGTATTTTTATTTAATCCATTACCGAAAATTAATAGCGCTCATATGAGGCTCTACATACATGGGACCCTCGCAAAAGGGTCATATTCAAACAGCCCTAACTCTCGAGTTATGCATTTAAGAACAATAATTTTAATGTCAATTTGTAAGTAATATCCTTAAGTATTAGGACAGTATTAAAAAATTTAGTATCAATGTGCTAGTTTTTGAAATATGTTAAGAAAAATAAAAAAAAATAGTCAATTTTTTTTTACTTAAATTAGCATTGTAAATGTTTTAAGATATTTTGTAGGGAAAACTTTCCGTGATGTTTATTTTTATTTGATAGATGCTATTTTTACCTTTTAAATAACATTTTTTTTTACATCTGTAGGACCTCTCTGTCCAGAGAAATATGCATCTTTTGGCAGAGGTATCAACAAGAATAAAAAAAAATTAAATGGCGGCCATTCCGACAGGAGGGGGCGTAGACCCCTATATATGGGTGTTTTCGTCGATGAAATTAGGTATATTTTGTAACTTTAAATTATCGCTAGGTCGTGACCAGACACACTGTATACGTCCCACAGCTGGGCACAAGCCTCCTCTTATTTCTGTGAGGGTATTGGATAAAGAAAGTGTCCACCGCGCTGCCCCTTTACGTTAGTAGAGAGTACACGTCTTTGAAAATATTTTTTATTCTTCAAATATTAGGCTTTCCTCAAGAACTTTTCCTTCACCGTCAAGCACGTGTTAAATCAGCACGTAAAATTGCAATTAAAAATTTCCTTGGCGCCGGCGGGGATCGAACCCGGGTTGCTTGCTTAATGTGACGTTTAAAGCAAGTATTTGCCCTTGAGCTACCACGGCTTCACATTATTAACAAACCAATTCAATATTATTATTTAATATTAAAAAAAACACCATTTAACCGATGTAAAGAAACTTTGTAGCAAAAAAAAAAAGCAGCACATTGGCAGTTCCCTAACTAGAAAAAAAAAACACTTGTCATAATGTTTATTTCTAATAGACGACACACACGGTCAATTCAAACTAGGACTGTTGATATTTTTTAACATATCGGGTTTTCAATATATCGATAATTATAAATATATCAATATCGGAGTTTTATATATAAGTTAATTCATCGATATATCGAAAATCTGATATTTAAAAAAATATCAACAGTCCTAGTTTGAACCGATCGGTTGGAATGATCAGTAGAACTGACCGTGTTTGTCGTCCATAACTATTCTCCCGCATATGTAATAAAAAAATTGCTGTTGCCAACCCACTTCATCATCATCATTACAGCCCTTCACAAGCCCATTGCTGAACATAGGACTCCTCCAAGGAATGCCACAAATAACGGTCCTGAGTCACCCTCATACATTGATTTCATGCATGTCTTACCAGGGCGTCATCTAGTGGGGGTCGCCCTACACTGCTCTTGCCGGTAGGAGGCTGCTACTTGAAAACCTTTCTTCCCCATCGGTTGTCGGTTCTTCGAGCTGTATGGCCGGTACATTGCCACTTCAGCTCACTAATCCGTATAATAATTCATTAACAAAAGCTTATTTCCAAAGACTTCTATGTATACTACTAAAGCGGCAATTTAAAAAAAATACTGTGTCACAGCTATATTTGGGGGGGGGGGGGGGATGTCTGGGCGGATAGCTGGCACGGTAAGCATGTTGTATTTTCATTAACAGCTGTTACTGTTTTTAGGTAAATTCGAAATAAAGTTACATGCTTATCTGAAATAGCGACAAAGTGCGCACATAAATAACGTAATATCTTCTTAGTCACATTAAACAAAATTAGTGTGTTGAAATTAGTTGCATCTATAAAATACCGGTTGGATCTCGTAACTAGTTGGAATTGCCCCTCCACTTGTTTGTGCAGTATCAATAATGTAAGAGCAGTGTAATATTTGTGCAGTTCAGTGTAGGTGCAGAGTGCGGGAGATTCCGATTGAGCCACTTTACGAGTGAAGTCATTCTACGTGTGCTAAAATAGAGTCGTGGTTCTGTTTGTTGTAGTAGTGCTTCTGGTGCAGGCAAGGAGGATGGTGTTGCTCAGAGGCTGCCCTGTGTTACGTTGAGATGGGTGGTGTTGCTGGTGGTTTGCATACTTTGGTGTTATCATATAATTATGTCCTTTACATTACACCCATAGAATACTATAATACCTACATATATAATAGAACGGGGGAGTGGGCGGAGCCCGTGAAGCCACTAAAATGTCACTAACATGTTAATTCACACCAATAACTGTCAACACAAGATGTGTTTTGACGTAACAAACGTTTTCAAATTTCACATGGAAATTATTTACAAAATGCCAAATTGCACGCTATTTTCAAATAAATATTTATTAAAATTTAAACGAATTATTTAATGATGAGCTTGAACATTAATCAGTCTAAAATGTTTAAATTCTCTGTCAACACAGCGAATCGGGTTTGTAGTAGTGATAAAACAACGTAATTGCTTGAATGTGTGCTCCCGGCGACGCCGACTCTCGTACAAAATAAGGTTGACAGCCATTTTACTGTGTATTATAGTATTCTATGATTACACTAGTGTGTGATTGTGATGCGAGACATATTACGGTATGGTCTCCATGCGCCTAGAAGTGTTAGATTTTCCACAAACAATGTTTGCAGTTTTCAAAACAATGAACTAATCTTTCCACCCGCTCGCAATCGACTAAAAGAAACGGAGGATCGACTGTAACTTAGCGTGCCTTGTACCGCAGATCCCGTCTCGTAATACATACATAGAGGAAACAAATATACAAGCCTGAATATACCTGGTCTTGATAATGTCAACTGGCATTGACACTATGGTTGTGACGAGACCGGACACCATAGAGGCGCAGAAATGAAGAGCTACCCCGTCCGGGACGTACCCCACGAATAATTCTCTTGCCTGTAAAACAAATAATTTAATAATACTATTTGTTTATTTAATAATATATAGATATAAAAGGTAATAGGCTATTACCAAGATTAAATGTTTTATTCAATAAGTAATAAATAAATATTAAATATTTCAAAAATAAATTAAAATAAAATTAAAATTAACACTATACTCTGAGTGAAGTGATAATTGTTGTTGCCCTTGACGAAGATGACTACGCCTGCCTTAATACAATGCAAACTAGTAAGTACGGAGGGTAGAACGTCTGTCTACTTTTGTGTAGCACTATTATCATTACTCGAAATAAATTTTTGTTTACCTCATTTAAATTTGGATTTTTATTAGCTCTACATATATCATAAATATGTAACGTTATAGTGAGGTGGTAAGGTCAATGTTTATGCTTTATTACATAGGCTGCACTAAAAGTATCGGGAATGGAATATTTCCACTGTTCCTGTCATATTAAAATATTTTTAATTGGAAACTCCTTGATTTTAAAAATCGAATACTATTTATTTATTTAAAAAAAGATTCTCGGTCTTGTCACAAGGTTTTGTCCAACTTGTTTAGTCGTTGAGAAAATGGAATTGACTCGAGAAAGTTCAAGAGCGATGATTTATTATGACTTTCGAAGTGGTTTAACACAAAAACAGTGTGTTGACCGGATGGTTTCTGCATTTGGTGATGAAGCCCCATCCAAAACCACAATTTATCGCTGGTTTGCTGAATTTCAACGTGGACGTGTCAAGCTCAGTGATAATCTCCGTCAAGGTCGTCCAAAAACTGCAGTCACCCAAGAAAACGCTGATGCTGTGCGTAAGCTGATTGAGGAAGATCGACATGTGACATACCGCGAAATTCAGGCAACTTTAGATATTGGCATGAGTCAAATACAAATAATCTTGAATGAACAATTAGGTGTAAAAGAGTTGTTTTCCCGATGGATACCGCATTCGCTCTGTGAAGAGCAAAAAGCGGCTCGCGTTACTTGGTGCGTCAGAACTCTCGAAAGATTCCACGCAGGATCCTTAAATGCTGTATACAACATCGTATCAGGTGACGAATCCTGGATATACGCGTACGAACCCGAAACAAAAAACCAGTCACGAGTTTGGGTGTTCGAAAATGAGTTAAAGCCAACAAAAATTGTTCGTTCACGGAGGGTTGTAAAAAAAATGGTGGCCACGTTTGTCTCCAAAACCGGCCATGTTACAACTATTCCTCTTGAGGGACAAAGAACGGTTAATGCAGAATGATATGCTAGCATTTGTTTGTCACAGGTGGTTTCTGAACTCCGTAAAGAGAACTGCAACCTCCGCATCATCCTCCATCACGACAATGCGAGTTCTCGCACCGCACACAGAACAAAAGAGTTTTTAGAGCAAGAAAACATAGAATTATTAGACCATCCGCCGTACAGCCCCGACCTAAGCCCTAATGATTTCTATACTTTTACCCTAAAATAAAGAATAAATTGCGTGGACATGGACAGAGATTTTCATCACCTGAAGAAGCTGTGGACGCCTACAAAACGGCCATTTTGGAGACCCCAACTTCCGAATGGAATGATTGCTTCAATGATTGGTTCCATCGCATGGAAAAATGTGTCAAATTTCGCGGAGAATACTTCGAAAAGCAATAAATACATCTTTAAATAGTAATGTTGTGTCACTTCCTTGATTCCCGAAATTTTCAGTGCCGCCCTCGTATAACTTATTTGCCACTTGTTGATAAATATATATATATAAATATAAATACAATAAAAATGAATACATGGTTGATAATAACCCCTGGGAATGAGATAGTCGCTTCCAAGATGTTATTAAAGTTTTTTTAAGTTAAACCTTTCTTATTATATAATTTTCTTTAAAAAAAAGTCACGCTGGGTTTTTGCTGGTTCTTCCCAGGACAGAGGTTTTTCTCGAACAAGTGGTAAAAGTAAAAAAAAATATACTTGTAATCTATATTGAATTAAAATTATTCTATTCCATAGCTGCCATGCTTCGGAGGCGTTTTGGTAACTGCAGTTTATGAATGATTTTGTGTTATCTGTTTTTATTATTATAGAATAAGGATGACAAACGAGCACACAGTCCACCTGATGGTAAGTGGATGCTATGGTCCATAGACATCTATATCTATATCCTCGTTTGCAAATCAAAATGCAGATGCGTTGTCACCCGTGTGGACTAAGATGGAATGCCTCGTTTCCAGTAAAAAAGGGTCTCCGAATCTCTATAATCACCATACGAAACACAGCAGTATTAAGCTACTATTTTACGCTGGTATTATATAAGAGCGTAGCCCTTCCCCGGTCGAGCCGACCCATTCGTGCTACAACCATAATATAGCTGCAGCGACAACTCTTGTTTCAGTTTGCCGCTGCCGTGATCACGACACCCACGGGACTATACGCGGTAGTGGCAGGTAGCCGATATTCTTGGGCCACTACACATCGAAACTGTCAGAAATGTCAAACAATATTATGGCTTTTAATAGGCCATAAACTTATTTCTCTCCATGGGTTGTAGTAAGAGGCAACTATGGGATATGCGAGTAGTTTTATGGCTTACGATATATAGCGGTATAACCATTTTATATACTTCAGAAGTAAAATCCGGCGACGAACAGCAACGTGAAAGGTATACTTTTCATTATATATCATATAGTCATAGGCGATATTTCAAGTACTGCGATCTACAATTAGGGTTGCCAGATGGTCGGGATTTGTCCGGATTCTTCCGACATTTTAAATGATCTCCAGACTCCCGACAGAATATCTCCAAATAAACATCTCGGAAAGTCAACGTATTGCCTTTGATTTAATAAGCTGAGTTAGTGATTAGGCTGAATTTTGAGCTAAATTGTATAGAATTTTAAATATTTTCTGAATACTACTAAAGGATCCAAATTGATGGACTCTAGTAATGACAAATACGTGTGGCAACCTAAAAATTAAGTGTACTTATATTAGTTTTGTTTGAAGTACTTTTTGCAGCTGCTTAATTAAAAAATAAACTTTTTATTTTTAATATTTATTTCTCCCGAGAAACCCCAAAGTCCTGACATTTTCCAAATTTGTTCAGATATTTCGGTCTTCCGATCTGGCAAACTTATTTACAATAGGACCCATGTCCAGCAGGTACTTTTAAAAATGAAGATGGACTCAATTTTAAATAATATTGACAGGTCGTGGGTTATCTATAAAATATATTAATTTTATAGATAACCCACGACCTGCCCTCTCGCACGGGTGATATCAGGATTCTATATCACTAGCACCATCTGCCGGGTCCAACTATGCCTATAACCTTGGCGCAAGTGCAAGCAGTATGTTGACAAAGTTTACCGCAATCTGATGAACGGTAAGACAGCGCATAAAACACTAATAAATAAATATTAACTTTTATATATTAGAAGATTACCTGCGAATAAGTGCTGAGCTGAGCTGCATTCACCACCATGGCTCTCGCTACAGTGGGAGTTGCTCCACGCCATAGTTTTAACACACCCTCCTCTTTGACAATTCTGTAAATAATATAATTAAATCATTAACGCTTTTTTTTAATAGAATAAAGGTGATTAACGAGCGAGCACACCCTTCAGTGAGCTACCTTGAGGTTTTTTTTTTTAAATTGGAGACGGCTCCGAGGCGCCGTGGCTTAGCAATGAGTTGCAGGGCCGCAGGTTCGAATCCCGCACGGAACAAGTACTTGTATGGCCTACAAATACTTGTTCCTGGATACGCCCTGACGATACGGGAAAAAACCTAGTGTGCAGGTAGTTTATTAAAATGAGAAATAAAAAGAGAGCATAGGAGTTCCGTTTCCATCACGTCAAGCAAGTACTACACAACACAAGATTCGGGTCCCGCGCCTACGTCACAGTGACCGAGTGAAGCCGGCCACAGTCGAGCGTGTGCCTGCTGTACTACCATATGTCAGAGGAGTTACAGACAATATTCAATCCGTAAATATTACGAACAGGCACAAGGCAATAGTAACAGTTACTCGACTCTACAGAATCAGTAATTCATTCTTGGGGCGATGTAGGTATACGCATTTACAACAAAATTCTACAAAATATGCCCTCCACCAAATTTAAAAGCATTATTAAACAAAGAAGAAAAAAAGAGAGGATTATTATAATATTAAGGCATTTGGAAGGTGATCGCTCGTCGCTACCAAGCTATTTCTAATTTGTAATTAAAAACAATAATTTTTTAACAACCATAATGTATGATTATAAACTGTTCTTTTTCAAAAGCTGTCCCGCTGGACTTCTTGTGGATCTTCCCAGAAGAAAGATATTTTCTAAAGTCAGTGTTACTCATAAATTAAACATGACTTTGAATAAGTAATATTTATAATATAAAAATAAAATCTATTTTCTATAATGATTCCTTATATTTACGGGAATACTGCACAATCAATATGAAACTAAATTTACGGATTTTATCGTGTTAAATTTTTACTTTTTATTTCTCGTCGTTTCGGGTCGATGGGTTCCCGAATTGGTGTGGCCAGCTCGTAGTGCTGACTTAAATTCAATCGAGCATATCTTGGACATGATTAAAAGAAACATTAAATCCTCTCCTAGCCCACCAAAAACTCTTCATCAGCTCCGAAATGTAGCATTGGCCGCTTTGACAACCATACCGCAAGACGATGTTAAAACATCATCCACAGCATGCCAGACCAAATACAGGCAGTTATCAGAGCTAGAGGAGGAAACTTGCGCCCTCCTTTCTGCCAAGGAGGGTCGCGTTCGTATACGGCTTAGAGATCTCTAGTCAGATCGTTAAGCCAATTCCTAAAAGGTTGAGTTTAGTGGGTAAAAGTCTCCACATAACCACGCAGCCGGCTGCGTGGTATGCTATGAGCATTCTCAACCTCCTTCCCCCGCTTTCCGGAGGGTTGCCCATATTTGCTTCGGGCGCAAAAAAAAAAAAAAAAAGTAGGCCTCCACATAAATTGCATCATAGGGCGGATTTTTGTAATAGTTGCCACGCGTGGCAGGCGGGCTGGTAACCGCAGTTTTTTATATTTTTGAGTTTAAAAAAAAAGAATATTAACAATGCTATAAACATTACTAATATTCCCCTTAACCACTCGTGGTAAGCTTAAATTGCTTGTGTTACGTGTGGTTCACGCCAGTAGTCGAATGGCGGATTCGAACCCACGACATTTTTGAGTTCGCGGTCCGCGCCCTACCATTAGGCTACTGTCGTTTCATTGCAGTTGGAAACACGTGGTACACTTACTTCTTATTTTGTAGTGATTTAATGTTGAGCGTTGAAAATTATAATTTTCCTTAAGATGTGTAGCTTTAAATAACCGCCGCTACAAACTTATTATTGGTGTAGTTATCTTTGAATAATTATGAAAAAGTACTGAAAACTTAAAAGGGACATTTATTGTGCCCACCTACGTATATATAGTATTCATTGAAGAAAAAATATTTAAAAGTTGTTTATTTCTATATATGAATAATATACTTTTGGACTTCCAGTACGTACCTCAAGAGCGCATCGACGACATTTTTGTAGTTTCTTCGTTGCTCGACGGGCAGGCGTCCATCGGCCGTCATGCGGATCAGCGCAACTTCGGCGGGCGTGCCCACGAATGCGCCTATGGAGCCTGCGGTGATTCCCAATAGCGTCTTTATAGCGAAATTCGGTGTTGCGCCGGCATTACGTCTGGAACAAAGCAGAGGCGGTTATGCAGTTATATTAACAAATATTGTAAGTCCATCTACTCATTACAGCCTCGATGGACGAGTGAAACAAAAGGACGCGGCTACATCGATTTACGGGAGGTGGCGTTGAGACTCAGTTATATCGGGTCTCACCGGACTACTAAACATCGCAGATTCTATGCGACACGGGACTGTGTGAAATTAGTATGTGTGAGTGTCATGCGACAGACGAGGATGTTCACCATGTTCAATGGTAATGTCTTTTGTATGACGACCTAAGAGCGAAAATGATGGATGGATTAGTTCGTACGGTACAGGAACCGATGTTACTACTCGCATCTCGTCAGCAATGACGTGAACTTCGGGCTGTTACGCGAGTTTGAGCATAGGTGGCATGATCGCAAAATAAGGCGGGAGAGAATAGAGGAGGGCCCGATGACGTAGGCATTATAGTGCCGTACAGCTCCAGAAGGGGGACAATGATGTAAAAGCTGGGACAAGGAACAGATTAACTATTTGTAGGGAGTCAAGGCAAAGAGCCATGCGCAAGTACCGCGCGCATCTCTCGAGATTCGGCCCGTATGACCCGAGGCTGGTGGGGCCATGAGAGGTGGTGGGTATCCATTGCAGCGTATAAAAGACCACTGCTGAACGTAGGCCTCCCCCTTGCGCCCTCCTTTCTGCCAAGGAGGGTCGCGTTCGTATACGGCTTAGAGATCTCTAGTCAGATCGTTAAGCCATTTCCTAAAAGGCGGTGTTTAGTGGGTAAAAGTCTCCACATAACCACGCAGCCGGCTGCGTGGTATGCTATGAGCATTCACCGCCTCCCTCCCGCGCTTTTCGGAGGGTTGCCCATATTTGCTTCGGGCGCAAAAAAAAAAAAGTAGGCCTCCACATAAATTGCATCATAGGTTGGATTTTTGTAATAGTAGCACGCGTGGCAGGCGGGCTGGTAACCGCAGTTTTTTATATTTTTGAGTATAAAAAAAAGAATATTAACAATGCTAAAAACATTACTAATATTCCCCTGAACCACTCGTGGTAAGCTTAAATTGCTTGTGTTACGTGTGGTTCACGCCAGTAGTCGAATGGCGGATTCGAACCCACGACCTTTTTGAGTTCGCGGTCCGCGCCCTACCATTAGGCTACTGTCGTTTCATTGCAGTTGTTGTTAGAAAGACACTGCTGACGGTTTCCCTCAATCGTCTCTTACGACACCCACAGGACGGTACGGGATACCGGATATTCTTACACCGGTTAAAAAACATAACATACCTACTATAGTATTACATACATTATTAACTTTACCCGTTTTATCCGTGTTCCTTACGAAATGTGATTTGTGTGTGAGTTTTGAGGCATTTATAATCCGCGTAGACTTCGTAACAGGCGGCGGAGAAACGAAATACGAGATAACTATGGGGAAAATGAGAGCCGTGGTAGCTCAGATGGTTAGCGCTCGCTGTAAATTTCAAATTACGCGAGCAAAATTGTTAGTTGCAATTTTAAGTGCTGATTTATCACGTGCTCGGCGGTGAAGGCAAACATCGTGAGGAAATCTACATGTCTAAGAAATAAGAAAAAAATTTCGAAGACATGTCAAGTTCGACAACACGCATTGGGTCAGCGCGGCGGACACTTCCTTGTCTTAAAACCCTTTCAGAAAGGAAGGAGGAAGGGAGGCCTGTGCCCAGCAGTGGGACGTAATAGGCTGTAACTTTTGCTTAAACTTTTTTATGAGGAATGTCAGAAAATCTTCAAAATCGACTCGTTCACAGCAGACAAAAACACTCAGACCAGCAATGGGCAGCAGCGTGGAAGATGCGGTAATGCGATTGCCAAGCCGTCTGCTAAACGTTTCGATTAAGGCATATTCATACAAGAGGAGGTTGATTTTTACAGTCTCATAAAGAACAAGGCATATTCATTTTGACTAAGACTTAAGTTATACGTTATAAAGCCACGCTGCACCTGTATTATGATGGTAGCACAAAAGGGTCGGCTCGACCGCGGAAGGATCACGATCTCACAGAATACCATCCATCTTAGTCCTCAGGGGTGAAAACGCTAATGCATTTCGATTCTTAATCGAGGTTAAATGTAGATGTCTATGGGCCACAGCATCCACTTATCAGGTGGACTGTGTACTCCTTTGTCACCCTAATTCTATATAAAAAAGTCAATGAAATAATAAATAAAATAAGAAAAAGATTGAAGTTCGGGATCAAATTCAGCGAGTTGTATCGTAAACATAATACCCTTCAAACAATTTTGTATTGATGTATATTATGTTTACGATTACGATTTATAAATTCAAACCTTAGATTCAAACGCTCACCTAACGAGGTCACGGGCAAACCTTGATACCGATATTTTTATTTGATATCTCTCGAATGACCGATTGTACTACAGGCCGCACTGCAGTAACACCTTGAGTTCCAATAACATATTTCCTAATAATTTTTTGAAGTAAAACAAAATAGATCTAATATAACTACATTGAGCTATTATGTACTACGTAACGTATTACTTCAATGAATAACTATTACAAATTCTCAATACTATCTACTCAGAATTATATGTATACTTATTCTGTGTCTACTGTAATCTCGTTCTCACCATCACCATACTCACCGGATATGATTATTGATTATGATTGACTTCATTTCTTTTACAGGTTGTTTTTTAACGAGCACACAGTCCACCTGATGGTGGATGCTGTGGCTCATAGACATTTATCCGTAGAGCGCAGATGCGTTGTCACCCCTGAGGACTAAGATCGAATGCCTCGTTTTCAGTAAAAAAGTGTCTCCGGTTCTCTACACTCACCATACGAAACACAGCAGTATTAAGCTGCTATTTTACGCTGGTATTCTGTGAGAGCGTAGTCCTCTCCCGGTTTAGCCGACCTATTCGTGCTACAACTGTACTACTAATATAGCTGCAGTATGTCACTAACATGTGAACGTTTTTAAACTTTAAAAATAAAATAAAAATCAATTTTAAATACGAGGGTGGATTGAAAAGTACTCGGCCTAACCAAGAAAATAAACACATACTAAATCAGTTATATTTTTATTTTTCTACATAATCACCATCAAGTTCAATACACTTTTGCCACCTCCCCTTCCAAGCATTTAGACCGTTGAAAAAAAATGATTCTTCCTTAGAGTCAAAATATGCGTCTACAGCTGCTTTGACCTCGTCGTTTGTCGAAAATCTTTGACCTCCCAAGTGCTTTTTTAGGTTAGGTAACAGAAAGAAGTCTGATGGTGCCAGATCAGGTGAATACGGCGGATGCGGTAACAGTTCAAGGCCACAGTTGTGAATTTCAGCCATTGACTGTACTGACGTGTGAACACGGGCGTTATCTTGATGAAACAGGACTTTTCTTCTGAGCATTCCTCGACGTTTTTCTTTTATTTCCTCTCGTAAACGACGTAGTAAGGTGCAGTAGTAATCAGAGTTTATAGTCTGACCCGTTTCAAGATAATCAATCATAATCACACCTTTCGAGTCCCAGAATACTGAAGCCATCACCTTATTTGCCGACAAAATCGACTTAGCCTTTTTAGGGGGTGGTGAACCAGGTCTTCTCCACTGTTTTGATTGTTGTTTTGTTTCCGGTGTACAGTAATGAACCCATGTTTCGTCCATAGTAACAAAACGATTCAAAAAATCATCTGCATCGGCTTCAAATAACTCCAAACAGTCGCGTGAAATAGTCAATCGCGTCTTTTTTTGTTCAACTGAAAGCAGTCGCGGAACCCACCTCGCAGACACCTTGTGGAAACCCAACTCGTTGACAATAATGTTTTGAGTTCGTTCATAGGAGATGCCTATAATCTCGGCTATCTCTCTAATTTTTAATCTGCGGTCTCCCATTATTAAATCAAGTACTTTTTTAATATTTTCGTCAGTAGTTGACGTCGAAGGCCTTCCAGAGCGGGGTTCATCTTTCACACTCTCTCTACAACGCTTAAATTCTGCTATCCATTTTTTGACGGATGAATATGACAGAGCACAATCGCCTAATGTACTGACCATGTCATCATGGATGGCTTTTGATGATAGCCCCTTCTTATGGAGGTACTTAATGACGGCACGCTGCTCGATTTGCTCCATTCGCGGAAATTATGTCCGATTACTTTGTTAATAAATTTATAAAATCACAACTAATTATCGCACACGTTTCGAACTTCACACAATGAACTAGTCTGAACTGAACTAAATAATGTGGGTAGATTTGATTGTTAGAATTGAATGGATCTGTGTTAGGCCGAGTACTTTTCAATCCACCTAGGTAACTAATAAATCATTGCCCTACGATTAAATATCAACAAGCCCAAAGGTTAAAACAGTAATTAAAAAATCTGACTACGTAAAAAGGTGACTGACAAGCGAAAAGTTTTATATCCTACGTAACTTCTGTAACTAGGTTTGCCAGATGAGAAAACCAAAATATCTCGACAATTTTTGAAAATGTCGATATTTCCGAGTTGTTGTCGGGAGAATTGAATACTAAAAATAAAAAGTTATTTATCTTTGTTCCCCCTCCCGAACAAGCCGGTTTCCGAAAAGGCTTCAGTACCATAGACCACATACATACCCTGCGGCAGATTGTACAGAAGACCGAAGAGTACAATCTGCCACTTTGCCTGGCGTATGTGGACTATGAGAAAGCCTTTGATTCCGTCAAAATTTGGGCGGTGCTACAGTCCCTTCAGCGGTGCCAAGTTGACTGTCGGTATATCGAAGTGCTGAAGTGTTTGTACAGTAGGGCTACGATGGCTATCCGAGTACAGAACCAGAGTTCGAAACCTATCCAACTGCAGAGAGGTGTAAGACAGGGTGACGTTATATCCCCGAAACTCTTCACCGCTGCGTTGGAAGACGTTTTCAAGCTACTGGACTGGAAAGGATACGGTATTAACATCAATGGCGAGTACATCACTCACCTTCGATTTGCCGACGATATAGTCCTTATGGCAGAATCGCTGG